TGACTCAACTAAGAAAAGAACACATCATACGTATTGTTTTTTTCTTTTTTTAAAATAATAACTAGAGATTCTCTCATTTTAAGATGTGTAGCAACACCACCATCTGGTGGTTGTTTTAAGGACTGCACTATCCGGTAAAATAATTCTCCAACCTCCTTAGATTTTCGTTTGTTTTTCAGTTTGTGTCCAGTGTAAAGAAATAAAAATCTGTTAAAAAAATGACCTCCTGGTCTTTGACCAGTTAATAAGTGCTTTTACAATAACTTTGCGTGAAATCACGTGAAACAGTGTTTATAAATTACCAAAAATAATCTGTAATCCTACAAGAGAGGCCAGGATTATTTTTAAAGATTAGTAAGAAAGGAAGATTGAGTCAAAATGAAACGTTCTTGTTGTTTATATTAGAAAAACATTCTGATTTGAGCAGAAAACAAATTTGTTCTGTTTGGCCTGGACTCTACTGCGGCCTATAACTTGGCCTTCTCCTGGGTGGAGTCACAGCTCAGGTGAGCTCTGAGGAACTCCTGGATCTTCTTCCACAGTTGGACTTCAGCCGCAGCGTGGGACTTGGCCTGGCCCCCCCACACAACTGGTTTCCCTAAAAACCCGTGAAAGCTGGAGGCGCAGTACGGCCCGTAGGGCGGCTCCAGGTAGTGCCCCGACCCACGGCAAATGAGGACCTCAAAGTTGTCCTTCCCATGATGCCTCAGTCTCTGCGTCATCTCGTCCACGAAGGCCGGGCTGTCCCAGTTGTTGTCGTCCTCCGACGCCACGAAGAGGAAGCGCCCCGAGGCTTGTTGGATGGGGATCAGCGAGGCCCGGTTCTCCTCAGCTGCCGGGTCAGGGATGGCGTTCTTGGTGATGAAGGCTCCGGACTCGGTGGAGACCACTTTGCTGACATCGAACGGTAGAACCGACAGGATCTGTTTCTTCTTGTAATAGAGGGGGAACACCGTGTTGGCAGAGCAGCCGTTGATCCACACGGTGGCGTCAATGTTCGGCAGGAAGGAGGCGATAGAGAGCACCAGGTCTCCACTTTTGGAAAGGGACGTTAACCCGACTCTTTTACTGCCGACCTGTGGAGAAACGTCAGGGTTGAGGACCACGGAGTCAGAGCACAGATTTAGTAGTAAAGTACTTTACTGGAGCGTAGGTGACGTAAACACGTGCCTAAAACTTTTGCACAGAGGTGACGTAAACACGTGCCTAAAACTTCTGCTTCTAAAACACTGCCTCACGCACCTTGTCTTGTTTTTTTAAAAACTCGATGGCTTCTTCAAAATAATCCAGGTGAATCTCGCTGATGTTCTTCGGCATGTCATCGATCCCGTACAGAGCTACGGTCATCACCACGAACCCTCGGCCGGCCAGCAGGGCGGCTCTCTTCTCAGACAGACCTCCACCGAAGGTGTACAGGTCCAACACAGCAGGGTATGGACCTGGTCCTGGTGACAGGAAGTACACCAGGAGGCACACAGAATCCAAATCAGAGGATGTTAATGGCCCCTGTTGACCAACAGAGGTACTGCAACCACAAATGCGTTTCTGGAAAACCTCTAACAAACCAACACAAATGGGTTTTGATCAGACAAACCAACCAGGTGGCGTGAACAGGACTCCTCGTACGTTTCCGTCTTTCACGGGCCGTCGTTGGACTCCGTCAGCCATCATAAGCCTCTCAGCCACCAACTCGGCCAGCGTCCTGCCCTCTCCCTGCCCCCGCCCCTCCACTTCATGCACAGAGAACCTCACCACATTGGGCTTCAGCGAGTTTGTCTTTTGAAACCTTTGGTGCAGCGTGTCGGCCTTCATGGACCACAGCAGACCCATGGGTTCGACGCCCACGTAGCTCCCGCTCAGGGACGGGTCTCTGTGCAGATCCAGCTCCCCGAGGCCGTCGGCCCTGTAGGTGGCGCTGGATCTGAACTCCACCCCCTTGTCATCCGTGGAGCTGGCCTTCAGTGCCACCACCTGCCTGGACCTCAGCCCCGACACCTTCACCTGGAGGAGGTCGTCAAACAAACACCTGGCGCTGGGCAGCAGCCTGAGTCTGACCTGGGAGGACATTTTTATCTGGACAATGAGGAAATAAAAGATAAAAACGGAATATTTGACTATTTAGCTGTTGTACTGAGCAGTTAAATGGATTAATATCAGTTAGCAGAAGTCTAAGCAGGCTACCTGCTAGCTCAACGCTAACAAACATCGAGCTAGCACACTGCTAACGTGTCTTTAATAATTGTGGCCATTCAGTAATCAAACCGAACCGATACTGTATGTGTGAAAAAGGACACGGGGCCTCCAAATGCGTTCTTAGCACCACCTACTGGCCAAGGTAAAAAAAAACAACACAACCTCAAGCCAACATTAATCAGTGTTTTGTCTAATTTTTGTCTAAACACAGCTGCAGCCCTGACCGTGAACATTCACCTTCAGCATTAATCAAATAACGTCACTGTCCGTCAAAGACTGATTTAATCAGAGAGACAGTTTTCTGAGTGACATTGTTGTAAAATATAAAGAAATAACTGGACTAAATCTGTGTGAAAAACTCATAAAACTATCAGGTAGAAACAGACACATCGGTAATAAACTGTATATTACACCACCGAATTTGAAGTGTCATTATATTATATATTTATAATTCATAATAATATAATACATTATATATTATATAGAACTCGTAAAGTAGACACGAAAAGTAGAAATAAGTGGAAGTGACGAACTTTAGCTGTGACCTACTGTCAGTCATCGACCGCTGCTGCTCCGAGAAAACAAAAACAGAACTCGAGCTCAAAGCTGAAGTCAGTCTCTGTGAAAATAAATAAAAATAAAAACTTTATTCTTTTTTTACCTACCTTATCGGTGTAAAGTATCTTCCGCCACTCTGTACAGCATTAACTGAGGCCATGTAAACACAGGCTGCGTCATCACCACGCCCCCTGCGTCACCGCCAACCGGAAGTATTTACCGCGTCAAAATAAAAGTCTCAAAACAGGAAGATAATTTAGTTTTATTTCTTTCATATTAAAACTCATATTTAAATATTTTAACGATTTTAAATTTGTTTTTATTTTTTATTCATCTGCAAAAGAATATTGATAATTAATATATATATATATATATATATGTGTATATATATATATAAAATCAGATTTTACCAACTATTTGTCAAAAAAATGTTTTCCTGTAATCGATCCTGTCACTCTGGAGACAAAATAACAGACGTAATTGACCAAGAATATGTTTGTGAACATGAATATAAATCATATGTGATGCAGTCAGTTTGAATAATAAGACCCACAGTGTTTGGTTTGAGATTGTTGTGATTTATTTCACTATGTCTCTTATCACAAAGTCTTTAAAAATGCAGACTAGGAGTTCTGTATACAAACTGTACACCAAAAGCAAGGCACTATACATTCTGAGTCATCAAGCCGCTGTTTTTTAAAAACGTGTGCTTGCACAGCTCAGCCAATCAGAGTCAAGTCCGAGTCACTGCGGCAGTTCAACACCGGTTAGCAACAGCCGGAGGCCTGACGGCACCTGTGGGCCGCAGACCAGCAGTAGAAGAAGAAACAGAAGGAAGAAGAGGAGGTTCCTCGCCATGTCTGACGTGACGTAGAATTGTTCTACATAAATACAAAGTCAAAAAAGCCGCTACACACACACACACACACGTACACCAAAAGTTACACTCACACTTGAACATTATGTACAGTCTC